GGATATCATCCTCTTTTGTCTCAAACAAAGTAGTTTCGCTTTCACAACGAAACACACAGTGCCTTCACAACATGGCAGCGGCAGCGGCAACGACAATACTACAGCGAGAATAAAAGTTACGCCTTCTTTCTTTGCGTGAACATTTGGTCGGCGTTATGCAAATCTTCCCACATCGTGACGTAGACATGTGGGGGCGTGTTAGAACGAGTCGTTTTAGGTAGGTGTGGCTGACTCTTAACTTTTATAAAGAATATCTCTTTGGATTTGAGACTTTAGTCTTTGCAACTTTACAGATCTTCTTTATGCACCAAGAGCTTGTAACACTCCAAAGAGAAAGAAAAAAATGAAATCGCATCATATGACCCCTTAAAGCACTTTTAATGGAAAACTATGAGCACAGTCTAGGGCAGGGTGAAATGGCCAAAAAAATTATCACAATAAAATTGTTCATATCACTCTATATCGATAATTATCGCAATAAATTTCAAATCTTTAATTCTTTAAAGGCAGATTTCTTTTCCTGAGTGAAAGCTGTAGAAGCCAAACCGTTAACTATGGTGTTAAACTACTCTTTATGCTCAGAACAAGACAACAATTTATGTTTTTGAATTCTTTACACTTTTCCTGTCATCTTAATAGAAAAATGAATTTCTAAGTTTCTGCATGTTGTAATGACTTTCAAATCATGCGACTTTAATGACGTGCATATCTTCAGCACAGTTTGCAGTGCAGGCTGCAGTATTAATAGTATTACATTTTTTTTATCTCTTAGAAATGCACATTTGACAGTAGCTTGAGTTGACAGTAGTAGCTTGAGTTAGGATGCAGATGTATTCTGACTGTTTGAGTTTTATTAATATTAACCATTAGTCTTCCATGACAGCATACATTTAGATATATGATTTAGATATATATGATTTATCACACAAAATACTGTAATTATGTGCAATTACTCCTTTAATACATTTAATACATCTACATTAATAATATAATCAAATTTGATATGAATATCCCAAATTTCTGACACAAAAGCATGGTGCAGTTAGTGCTACTACAGTAAATCCATGGTAAATGATGTCAATTTGTCAATTGAAAAGCCTTCTGACAGTATCGGTGCGCACAGTGTTTCACTTGTTTGTCAGTGCTGTTTCATCTGCCTTTAAACTAGTTTAAATCAGCGAGTCATTTGTGTTCTTCGCTGAATTCAATCGCTTCACACTGGATCTCACAGCACTGTTTAGTGCTTGTATGACCGAGACTTATCAGCGAGTAAACGCATCTGCTCTAGTGAGCTCGCGCTGTGCTGCCGTTTGAACTTTGAGCCGATCAGATAAATGGTCCGTGTGGTGCGGTTCAAATGAGTAGCACGGTTTCGTTCCACTTTTGGCATATAAACATATTTATCGAACTCTTATCATTTTATCGAGGAAAATTATAGCGTGATAATTATCGTTATCGTTTTATCGCCCCGCCCTAGTACAGTCTCACAAGAGTGTACACTATTCTAATTACCCCTTCACAAAACTTTGTACTTTTTGTCTTAAGGTGTTAAACCTATTAAATTAGCACCAAACTACTGAATGCACCTTTAACTTAGTGCTGGGCGGTATGACCAAAAATGTATATAAAACGCCGCTAAAAGGGTCTGAAAGTTGCTCAATCTAGTGCTAAAGTAGCGCTCGTGTGTGTGTGTGTGAGACGCGGGAGCTGATGGCAGGGGGCGGTGGATATTTGTGGCGGTCAGCGTGGATGTTGTGGATGAGTTTTTCTGTGTCATCATGTTCTATTAGTTCTACAGCTTCAGTTTCGGAACTTTCACGCTTAGTAACACATACAGCTGTTCCCTTTCAAACAGTGTCGCGTTCCGAACGTTGTTTAAGTGACATACAGTTATTATGTATGTCTCTTAAACTCGTTGCGGTATTTTAAAAATTCATATCATAACAAAAATAAACACTGGTATACGGTATGAACCGGTATACCGCCCAGCATTACTTTAACCGCAATTTTTTAAATAAATAAATTAGACTTAGAATGGGACTTTTAATGAAAGTGAAGGTATTTGTTTGCTTGGTATGGCAAAATTTCAACCAATTAATCTGGATTTTTTTTTTTCCATCTATTTACAGTCCAAAGTCAAAAATACTACACAATTTCTGTCAGTTTTCCCACTAATCATTCTCAACTAGACAAGAGACATACACATATATACACGGTTTTTACATTTATACAAGTGACTCACCTAAACACTCCTCTTTCAGCACTCCGTTCTTGTTCCTCTCCTCCCAGTCCATTACTTCTTTATAAATCAACTCTGTAATGAGGGAAAAACCCCAAGAAACTATAAACAGAGTTGTGTGTCTTTCCATCATTTTACAAATAACTAAATACTATGCATCCCTTCAGCACACATTTAGATCACAAACTTTTAGGGTCAAGACTCAAACTATTCCATTACTTTAGAATAAATGAGAATGCAAATGATCTTGGATCAATTCACCACAGTAACCATTTCTGCTGTAGGCATTCATTTTCTACAAGAAGCTTATAGCTCAGCAGGAGGTAGTGACAGCAGAGGGCGTTTGTACCTTTCCACTGCTCAATGCTGTGTTCCCGCTCCTCCAACTGCTTGTCTGATATCTGCGGAGGAGGCTGAACACATAAAACAATCATTATACATCCTAGTCATTTAAAAAATGTCCCCTGTAAAACAGTTTCAACTGGGCTGGACAGGACAAAGAGATATGAAAGGTTAGGGGTGCACTGACCGTATCGGCCTCAGCTGGGTCATACCACACATGGATGTAAGGGTGACTGAGGGCCTCCTGCACAGAGATGCGGCTTTCAGGGTCGATTACCAGCATCTTGGACAGCAGGTCTCGTGCTTGACTAGCTACATTAGGAATTATGTAAAACGTCATGCGTCAAAGCAATTGTTTAAAGTACACCATTAACAGATGTGGAAGAAAACTTTGGATGTCTTACTTTTGATCTGGTCATGCTCAGTCTCTGAAGGGAAGGCCCAATCAGGAAAAAGCTCGTTAAAACTGACTCCAGGAAACTGGGGTTTGTTCATCACATAGTTCCTTACAGTCTCCATTAAACGGTTCATAAACTCCAGAGAGGGGGTTCCCAGAATCTCAATCACTTTATTCCACTGGTCAATATCTGAGATTAACTCAGTCAAGGAGATATAGGTGAAAGGGGATAAATTCACATAAAGTTAAAAACTGAAAACAGCTTTCTTTCAATCACTAGGACAGACACTGGGATATATATATATATATATATATATATATGGCAAAAACCACAGAAATATATTTCTTTTTACATTTTAATGACATCAAACTCCCTCCAACGGACGGCACATTCACCAC